GTAACTATAGAGGTTGTAACTATAGAGGTTATAACTATAGAGGTTGTAACTATAGAGATAGCAATTAGTGCAATTTGTGAACAGTAAGAAACGGGATTGCTTCGCAGGAAATAGATACAAGAAAAAAACAATGTTGCTATTCATCATTGCATAGATATATAATATATAATGTGTTGGTACTGTTGTATATATCTATGATCATTGCTACTAGGTTTAGCATGCGTTTTTTTACATTGCCTAACAATATGATTTATGTCAGTATGTCAGATTGTCTGTCTGTCTGTCTCTCCGTCCGTCCTACCGCCCGCCGCCCAACCTGTCTGCCTATCTGCTTCCATCCCACCCCATCTCATAATCTCACTTACAGTTACACCATTGCATATCTTATCCTATCTCTTTCGCACATATACATACATACATATATATATATAAATACATCATATAATATGTATGTATGAATCGTGCATTTTGTATTTCACTTCTCGCTATTACGTCAGCCCGTCACATTATTTACAGCTTTTCGATTTGTCATCTATTCACATCAACCGTTTCCCGTCATTGTCATCTGTGCCCTACATTCGACAAAGTGCATATATGAACAAGAGCACACATGTCAATAGAACGCAACGTGCTCAACCCAAACATACACATGTCGCGCGCACAATCAATAACACTCTGCGAAGCCAAACTGTGGAACCTTATAAGGTTGCGTGCGCCCTAGAGTCCGTGCCTAATATTGGCAAAAGGCACTGCCCCCCCCCCATTGCAGCACGTTTTTGGTAGTTGCCTTAGGTTGTCCGGCGAGTGTCCTGGTGCATAAAAATACATTTTGCTAAATCGATAGCCTAGCGCCATAAGTGAGAAAGCAAACGAAAACACTTGTACGAATTAGCGTGGCCTAAAAGTCGGAAGGCAGAGTACTAACTGCTCCGTGTAGCTGACGGTGTGCGTGTCGGGTATTGGTGGCGCTTGCTGTATGGATGCAGGCCATACGCAAAAAAAAACACTATGGGCGGAATATCGGGAACTTGAAACAACAGTAGTCGTACCATATAGGATATATATATATATATATACGTATTATAACAATTCGAACCAAATATCACTGCTAGACCAAATGCTGAGAAGCTATTGTCGGCTTTAAATGCTTGATTTTATTATTAATTATTCTGTCTGTCCTTTTACAGAGTTTTATAGAATAAAACTCATGTCATGCTGACGCTGCACATGCAATCAAATGCCAATCACAACGGGTCATAATAGGCTCCTATTTCTATTTTATATGCAATTAAACACCACAGCAAGAGGACTACCTGTCTTTTTAGATACGAAACAAATTCTCCTGACAACGAATATGTGGTAGAAATTGTGGGTATGGCTCTGATAGCACAAGTGCTGAGAACATCATATTCTGGTTTTACGGGCACACACACTCTGACGCAGATAGATACATAGTGGGTCCTGGTTCTTTACTAGATGTTGCCGGTTTTAAGGAAGTAATCAATTCAGGAAACTGCACGATCAAGTTTAAAGCAAATAACAAGCATAATGAATAGCTGATATCAGGGCTTCCCATGGTGTTTGGGTTCTAACCCAGGGGGAACGGAACTCTGTGTGCACAACCTGTTTGGCATGCCATCCTTGTGATTTACATGCTTATGACTCTGCAGCAGCAGCACTCTAGATGTCAGTGAATCCCAAAGGGAAATCAACCAGTATCTAGCTGTCTCTCGCTCTGCCTCTCTCTCTCTTTCTCTCTCTCTCTCTCTCTCTCTCTCTCTGCACAACACATCACCACACAGCTAACAGGCACACTCCACGTGTGGCACGCACAGCTCACGACCGGCTCATGTAATAATGAAAACTATACGCAAAGCAATTTACCATTGGAAAAGGCCCACAGCCTACAGTAAGAGCAGTATAATTAATATATATATATATGATATATATAGAAAAGTATAGGATAGGTATCGAACAGGTCTTCAGTCTGATATGTCCCTAGTGACAACCAACAGCCAATCAATACAGACACAAAAAAGCAGATAGATGGCATTATTATTTTTACTGATAAATGCTATTTTGCCTTGTATACATACTGAACACAGTTAGGTGTTGGAATTAAAGTCACCTTGTTTGAAGCCTTGCTCTCAGTAACAGTCTACTCTCTAGACATTAAAATCCACGAAAGAAAACTATTCTGGATAGTTGGTCACTTGATTCTTAATCAGGCCTATGAACATACTTTTAGCATGGTGATGATCACAGTTACATACTTATTAAAAACAGCAATAAGAATAGCTGCCGTTTCAAGTGTATTGTTTATTTCCATATAAGCACTATATTTCTATATGACATGAAGTTTGTTCTTTTTGTTCTGAACTCGGAGTAATTATGAGTTATTCATTGACAACCCAAGCTACGATGAGGGTTCAATAAGCTATAGGCTTACTCTACTTAAAAGTGGAGGTGATTTCAGATTCATTACTCACTTGAAGCATATCTCGTCTAGAACTTGCTTCGTGAAGGTGTTCTCCTCTTGAAACAGGTTGTTTAGCGCGTGGAGAGCACAGAGTTCCTTCACTTGCTTCTCGTGATAGATGTTGAACGTGTCGCACGACTGCTGCCGTTTGTTCATGATGTCTGTTGCTGCTGCTGTTGCTGCTGCACACATGCGGAGCGCGCCCACAGCATAACATCCCATGCAACGCTCGCACACCTAGCTCACCCTCACTCAGTTTATCTGCAAGTAACGGTAAGTGCACTTTGAGTAAACAAACCAGTGGATGCTTGATTCCTGGTGGTACCATTGCCGAAGAAATGATTAGGCCAGTCTATGCTACCTAACCTATTCACCTACGAATTTTATTATGTATGGCACTCATCAGCTGTATGAGTCCATACGATATGAGTCATATAATATGAGGAACGACATTAAAACTTCCACTTAAATTATCCATGATCTAGTGTTCACGGTTATCGTACATTACGTTAGTATTTATATCGTAGACGTCAATGATACGAGCAGAAAGCAAACACTAAAACAGTAATACTGACATCGACACTGTCACTGTCGTCGGTTTAATACTAATAGTGAATAGTCACCGTATAATAGTGTCACTCACATTCGACGATAGCACCAATCGACAACTCTAAATTTACTGTACAAGATATTTAAACTCAGTCTCTACCAGTTAGTTGACTAGTATATCACTGTCAGCTAACCAAATTTACTCTTACATGGAACACTGTTTTGTTTACCTGTTATGCGACTAAACGTTTCACAACACTGCGAACATCAAGAAATCACCCTCATCGTAATCAAGAACAACAAACATCTGGCCGACGTCACCGTTTCCAGTGCACATATAAAAGCTTGACGTTACCTAAAAATGATTTTGGAGAGAGGGCGCCACTTCCTTATTCAATCATAAATACATGGCGTCTTCGTTATCATATATTCTTTTTCGTTCATGTTAATATGTATTCTAGTATAGTACGCATCTGTGCACGTGCAACACATGACTGTTTTCTTGATGGCCATTCCACCGGGAAAGTCATACGAGGAGCCCTCAGATACTCGTCGAGTATGTGAACTTATTAAGCTATTTTATAAGTAGCCCGTTGCATCCTCGTACGTGCATGGTCATCATCATGTTCCGTATAATTTATTCACTCACGACACATGGTGCACGGACCGCTAATGCTATGTAATAATGAAGTTTCCTCCACTGCAAGTTATATGTTACAACTGTTGTGAACTTGAACAGGACAATAAATTGTCCTAACGCGTAGATAAATTAGAAAAGCAAAGCAAATTAGTTAATTATGAGTAGCAACAAAAGTACAGTCAGCATCACATCTTACACTTACAGTGACAGTGTTACACCTAAATCATAGAAATAAGCCATGACATGTGCAAAGAAATTGAAAACTGCTGTGGACTGTGAAGAGGAGCGACACTGGATCCTCCCTGTATTGGCACAACATATCACTACAAACACTATCGAACTCGATACGGTTTATGCCGGTGCTATTGAAGACAAAAAGGTCACCTCTCGTCTTCTCAAGGAGTTGTGCATTGCCTATCCACTGAAATTGCACCAGCACCTGAAAAGAATCAGAAATTCTGGAACTGGAAAGAACGTGAGACTGGAAGTACTGCTCTGCTGTGAGCGCGACTTGCCGTGCCCCGAAGAAAGGATCCGCTCCCAAATGCATGCGACGCTCGAGGCGAACAACGTAAGCACGGAAGGACTAGGAAACGTATACCTAGCGAAAGTGCCGAGGTCTTCGCCTCTCACCCGCGCTCAGTACCGCGAGGCTATCGCCTACTGGCCGACGCAGTTTCACGAGGACAAGCAGCTGGAATTGCTTCTCGATGGCCGTTATTTCGGCAGCGCGGACAGGACGAAGATTGAAAACCACATGCGAACGGCGATTTCTCGCGCGCGGAACTCGACGGGCGAAGCGCGCGTCGGCGCCGTCTTCGTCGACCCGCTATCGGACACGGTCGTTTGCTCTTCGTGCGACCTGCGCGACGCTGAGCATCCGTTCCACCACGCGCCGAACGTCTGCGTCGATCTCGTGGCAAGAAGCCAGGGCGGTGGCGCGTACGAATACAACGGTGTCTCCGCGAACCCCGATAGCTCGGACTCGCCGTGCTTCGTTCGCGAGCTACGTCGTTGCAGTCCAGAGGCAGAAGTGCCGCGTGCGCCCGACGAGAGGACGCCTGGCACGCGAGAGTTGGAGGGGCACAAAGGCAGGACCGCGACGGTCGACAAAGGCCTCGCAAGAAATTCCGCGGGCTTGCCCTACTTGTGTACTGGCTACGACTTGTACACGACCCGCGAACCTTGCGTTATGTGCGCGATGGCCTTGTTGCATTCTCGTATCAGGCGGGTCTTTTATGGATGTTCAGTACCAGGTGGTGCCTTGGGGTCATATTACAATATACATGTCCAACCTGAGCTAAATCATCATTTTGAGGTGTTCCGAGGCATTCTGCAGGAAGAGTGTAAAAAACTGCAATGGGACACCGTGTAATTTTTACTAAGGTAATGAATCGGTAGAAATGTATCATGTAATTTATATTATAATTTCGTTTTGTGTGTACTCGTGAAATAGAATTCCAAAATATTTATCGGGAAAATTTTAGAATCTTAAAATAAACCTATAATGAGTAATAAATATTATCCATATTCATGAGTATATGTTTATCGCTAACCTGACGTGGTGTAAATGGTTAAGCTTGTACAGTGTATAATGCTTCTTACATAAATGTGATTAGGTATGTGCTCAGCAAAAATGGCTGCACACATCAAAATACCTAGTGCAGTATTGTGCAGTCATCATGTATCAGAGATGACAGGTGGATGGGACAAAAAACCATTATCGGTTCATAAAGGAATGATTGGGAACAAAAAGTTACTGAGTCCTAGGGTCGATTTTTTTATACGATTCATTGATTGGCTGACATATCCTGCCGTATGCGCCCTACATTAGGTTTTTTTAAATTGAAACAACAACTTTCGCATTTATCCATCGTTGAAAATTCTAGCCTATACATATGAAATCTGACAAGGATATGGGAACCAATGCGTAAATTATAGGTATGTGGTAGAGACAACCAGTTTACAAGCTTTCAGATTTGAAAAGTACAGGAGGACTACTAATGACTCCCCTAGCGAGCACCACGGTAGGGCGTCCTTTTCACGGCGCCATATCACACCCCTTGAGTCAACGGGCGGATGATGGCGAGAGCCTCCAACCTAAAAACAATCACACCCTCGAGGCATGATGGCGAGGGCCTCAACTAAAACATCACACCTTAAAGGGATGATGCGGCTCTGGAGGACTCGTCCATCGGAGGCCCTTGCGGCCCCGGGGGTCGCATGACCACTGGAACGGCGGGGGATGACCGCAATCCTCAGCGGCTAGAGTGGAAATCAAACGGAAAATTGGCGGGCGATCGTCATGTCCAGATCCAGGTGATTATATTCATCTTCACCCATTACATTCAATGCTTTGCTGCCGATGATAATTCTTTTTCACCTCCAACAACCAACACACGTAGCACACCGCCCACACGATTAATAAAAGCAGCGCGGTTGACTCGGAGGCGGTGGTAAAAGGTAAACTCTCGGCGCCGGGTTGTTTACTATTCTGGAGTTCTTCATCTTTAGGCAGGCACTGCCAATCCCATGTACGCCGGTGATATCTTGCATTCACGAAAACGATCGTATCACACATCCGATCAACCACAAAGCTGGGCCAGTTACCTTGTAGCGTAGGCTAGCACGTATCGACTGTAGCCCTCCAGGCCCGGCCCTGAGGATGACCTGTTCTCACGGGTCGGCGCCAGGGGAAACCACTTCCTCGCCTCGGCTACTAGTTGGGGGGAAAACGCAGCCCAGGAACTTGTCGGTACCCGCGTACGGGTACGGGCCTAGGTTGGATGCTGCTTGGTCTGATGTGCCTATAACACCACGGGCAGGGCCGGTGGAGTCAACGCCTGTACTCTGCCATTACGTTTCGATTTACTGTACACACACAATTGTCTGCCGACGCCGGCCTGCTGTTGCTAACCTTGTTGTTAGGGGCGCCTACGATTCCACGACTCTAGTTAGGAGCGCTATTTCAACTAACGTACACAGTAGTTTTGCCGGCGACCGCCGGGCGCGGGCCGAGCGCGCTGCGCCGCACAGGTGTGGCTAATTGTGATGCTCAAGGTGGCTAGAGAATAGAATGTAATGCCGGACCTGGATTAATAGAAGATGGGCGGGAATCTATCTCATACTTACCCGCTGCTACGGTAATAAATGCGGTTATACCTGCGCATTTATCAACTTGGCTTCTAGGCATGGGTACACTGAATATGCGTGCATGGTGTAGCATGAATCAACAACTGTTCTAGCGCTTGCGGCCACCGCCGGCGCGCGGGGCCGGCGGGGCGGGGCGCCAGCCGGGCGGCTGGGTTGTTGGCGAGTCCTGGTAGCACACCAGGAATGTATCAGCTACTAGCAATTCCTTCGGGGTAGCTTGATGCTCTGTATACTCTAATCATTTTACTGCCGTTCTAAGGTAAGCCAAAACGGCGTTCTACACAGCCCACCCCGCGGGTCCGAATTATACGCAAGCCTGCGGAAAGGCAACTGATGACATGTGCATGACTGCCACAAAACGGTAAACTGGAAGACACCAATGGCGCGCGAAATTATTCAGGTGGCTCGGGCCAAATGAACATTTCGCCAATCACTCTGCCCAGGAGATGGCCACGGGCACCACCGAGCCGAGGGGCACACATATTTGACAGGCAACACATGCACATTGTTAGATATACCTGCCATTCATGCACAGGTGTTCTACCCAAGCGCCATTTTTCGGAAACCATGGGGTTGGTAAACCCTTTTACGTGATTGCCGAGTAGTTGGAGATATGTCCAACTCCACTGGCATAGTGACACCGTTGGGCACATTAGACAGCATAAATGACTAGTGCGCGAGGGATGGAAAGGTAGTGAAGAATATTACAGACATCGTAATAACGGTTGCTGTAACGGTTAGCATACTTCTGATTGTAACTCTAGAAGTACGGCCGACACGCAGGCCGAGACCCGGATGTGTAAATCGCTCTGGCGCACCGCCAGGGGGGGGCGGCCGGGGGGGCTGTCCGGTGTAAGTCATAAGAGAGAGGGTTTGCGCTGGAAGAGAGAGAATATACTGATAGCACTATGGGAGATGGTGAACAGGTCTGGTGAGTTGACATTTCACGTTTCCTTTGTCACATTTTCTACCACTTTCTTATTTTATATGTCATTTCCTTTGCCAAATATTTTGCAGCATTAAAAGAATCTGCAGCTTTTTGTTAGAGTGTTATGAAATCATCTCTCACAGCGTTGAGTATGTTAGAAGCATTTTATTTGAACAACAAGAGCCGCAGAGCGTGCGGGCGCTCATCTGGGGTCTGTTGCTACGGTTTATGAACGTACAATTTCAGTTGTGCGTAGTGACACATTTGTTAGGCGCAGATATGCAGATACGCAGTTGCGTACACATCATTTGTTAGGACACGCTCACTATCTCCCCCCCATGCGATTTGGTTTATTTTATTAAATGATACTTGCCTTCACTGTCGAATTTGTTGTCATAGATTCACCAGCTATCTATTTTTATCTATTCTATAAAAAGATTTCACATCATGAGCGAGCATGGATCTCCAAGTATATTAGAGGGGGCGGGGAGTCCTTCTTCCCACCTCCCTCCCCCTCTCCCTCCCCCTGCTCCCACTTCACTCCCCTTGCCTTCACTTCCACCCCCTTACTCTCCATCTCCCTCCCCCTGCCTTCGACCTCCCTCCCCCTGCCCCACCTCCCATCCACCTTGCACACCATCTCGCACGACCTAATTGTACCCCGTTTCCCGCTCTCGCATACACACCGTATCACCGTTTTCCTGTCCCGTCTCAATTTATACTCTCTTCTCTCCTTTATCTTAGACTTTCTCTCTCTCTCTCTTAATTATATAAAAAAATTAAAACCAGCAATGATGCCTTTTACTGCCCCCTCAATAATGCTTATTCTTCCTATGCCCCTGAGTGTAACAGTCATAGAATCATAATATTATAGTGTTCTAATATTTCTATGGTAACAGCTTATGTTCGCACAACTGGTAAATGGATACGCACGGCCATAGCTAACATGATACTATGTTAAGTTCAAGATGAAAAGTAATATATTATATGATATATATCGGATAGTTATTATTTATTTCGTTTAACAAGTTACATGAGAATAAATCAATTTAAACTAGGCCTAAGTTGCCGCGAGATGGCGCCGTGCAAGTGTAATGAATAATCAAAGATGGCATCGTTCCTGAAATCCTACAGTAGGTACAGGCTAAAATCCAAGTAAGTATATTCAGGCAGTTGCTCAGCTGTTGAGTTAACAGGTGCATTGCAGTTGGCACGGCAACAATTATGATTAGAAGCGTGCCAGCCATGGGCCTGCCTGTGTTTTTGCCTCGATGCGAGCATTCACGTGATTCATCATTAGCCTTCAGGCCCAGGGGCATAGACACTGCTTTAGAAAATCATATGATTAGGAGCTATAACCCTTGTTCAACAAACATTTGCCTTTGCAATTAAACTGTGCAACTGTAGCCTCACATTGACACAGGTATGGCTCTAATAATAGCAAAAGCAGTTCAGTCCTTTGTTTAACAAGTCAACAAATCAACTGTTTAACTCCTCCACCCTCTTGTGGCCGGTCAAAAGGTTTAAGATCCGACATTTACTCTCTGCATGTCAGTGGAAAGCATATTTCATGGTCTGTCAATAAAGCCATAATAAACTGCTAGGTCACCGCTGAAACACAAAAAAGTTTCCAAATCGCTCCGTCACACCATGTCCTCAGAAAATGTCTAAATTTGCCTGGCCCATTGACCTTTTGACCTGTGACGCTCCATTCGGCACAGTGATGGTTTTTCCGTACCATGATGCTATTTACACCGATATCACGAGCCGTAGGTCCGAGCCGTTTTAGATTTTGTGCGCAATTCTGCATTTCCTTCCCATATACTAAGTTAAGGAGTGAATGTTTCCCCCTTTTTAGCAACCTCTTACCATTGTGACCTTTATGACCCCCAGCTTCGATCATCCCAACTCGTTTTCCGGAATTAACCGCCCGCCACGGTCCGAATATCGTGACCGTGACGTCGAGGCGTTAAGATTTTGCCCACTGTTGACGACGGACGGACGCTCGGACGGACGGACGATCATGCGATTCTACAAGCTGCATATGACTATATCAGATGAGCTAAAAAATAATGGAAGTTAACTTTACAGTTTCTTACACAGATCTTGCAAACTTCTGATTGACATAGAAGCGTAAACTGTCGTTCGCCTTATGTTATACAGCTACCGCTACAGTGACCCTCCTGGCCTTGAGCAATTTGAGACAGCCCTCTGGGACCCCTTACTGTTGTGGTTCACGAAAAGGTGAGGTGTTATAAACTTTAGATACACAGTACTGATGTCGAATCGAGCGCCACGTGATCGAAACTTGGCTTCACATCACTTACAATCAACCTTACCCACTACATTTCAGATATAATGTACAGCTCAGTTCCACATTGGGCCTGAATTTGCTTGACATACCAGACGACACGAAGAGAACGATACAAAGGCATCTCCTTACATATAATGCTTGGGCTTTAGTTGGTAAGTCAACGTGACACATCTACATCTAAAACAGGACCCGATTTATTAGTATATCCCGTCCGTAATTAGTATATTAGTATTTATAATTATATAGTATACCCGAATATTAGTAGCCAGTTACCATATTTTAATTTCTATCCTCGTAACACGAAACTATTTCTGCAAATGAGAATATAAAACACGTTTACATGGTACTGTGATACATCTCTTTAGGTCTGTGCTCCATGCACGTGGGGAGTGAAGCTATGACTTGAATGAGTCTGATATCACGTACTGCCACAAGACTCTGTTCAAAATCGGATTCATCATACAGGGGAAAATCACAAATTGAAGGCGTTGTTATTACATTGGAGGTGTGGAAACCTGCAGTTCTTTATTTGGCTCCAGTACAAGCCACGAGAGTCGGGGTGGGGGTGGGGGAGGACGTCTCTCTGTAGTAAGAGTAACCTCATTGCAACTGCAGTGTATAATACTAGAAAGTGGGTGGAATGCACTGTTCTGTTTGCAGGAATTCTACACGCAGTAGAGGCACTGAAGTCTGTCGTCATCTCGTTAGCTCTCATAGACAAGTTCGTGTCCGTGGAGCAAGCAGTCTACTTCTCACGCCTGGAGTGTGAGTTCCAGGTACGAAAAATACCGTTTTTCCGTTTTTCATAAAACGCCTCCCGAACTTTGCGGTTCACGAAAAATGTAACCTAGTCTTCTTCTCAGTCGGATTCTTTTTCTGTGGGTGGACGCGTTTCCGATCACGGATCGAGTTATCCGACTCGGGGCAACGCAAGTCTGTGTCGTGCCGACTGCATTTTAAGTAAATCGGGTATGCGGGATGATTTCCGGGCGGCGAGTCAATTCACGTGTCCGTTTGTCGGAATAGATTTCCAAGTGGGGCAACGTCGAGGAGGCTCACGACATGGAGAAGACGGAGACGCAGGCGCGGGCGGCGGCGGCGACGCTGTTCGTGCACATGTGCTCGGAGACGGAGCGGGCGCAGCACAAGTTGCAGCAGCCTCCACAGTAGACAGCGTACGGGTGCGCGCGCGTTCACCGATCGACTTATCCGCCCGAGCAAGATAGTCATGCTCCTCTCAGATGTCGTCGCTAGGTCGATCGAGCTATAGCTGGTTGCGCATTTTTTTTCGTGCGCGCACGCGAAAATGTCAACCTTGGAGCACTTTGTTGCTATGCAGTGTTTTTATAATGTTCTATCACAATGGTGATTGGAACTTAGATTTCCCTGTCACTCGCGCTCGGTTGATAGGTAAATTTTTTACTGTTCGAAGAATAGTTTTTTTGCACTCCGTGGTCGTTTAACAAACGTTTTTATTATAATTTCCATACACGTGGGAGTTTATAATTCAGTAAACACTGACATGACTATTGACCAGTTGATTATTGCTGTGATGAGGTATAGTCATGGGCCTTCATGAATTCTTTAGCTGTTAGTAAACAGAAAACATGGTTTTATATTGTGCTAGTTGTTTAGCACAAGTTTATTCCATTGTGTGATCCATACTATCATTTGTGCTATATACAAGTGAAAACACGTATAGCACAAGTAATAGTTTGTAGGTGAAATGATCGTTGTGCTACTGTTGTAGTTTGGAATCAGTTGATATCAGCCATAAATGTTTATACCGCGTTTTATTATGAAACTTAATTAATGATCAGTGTCTATAGAATGTACGTTAGGGTTTCGTGACTTGGAGAATGACAATGGAGACCAAAATCCAAGTTGATATTTATTACAGTGTGCATTATGCTTATGTTTATAATAAATTGGTGAAATATATATCTCACTGACTCTGTAGAGCTGTTTATTGACTGGGTTGGCAACTTGGCATCACATTATAATTAGTTATTATTAATGGAGTAGTAGGCCAATACACGTGTATGGACTACGCAAGAAATTCGAAAGCCTTTTTAACAGGAATGAATAAAACCTGCTTTATTATTTACTAAGATATATTCCATAGATCTGCATTTGGCAGAAGTGACTATCATAATGATTAAATAAAATGCAATACAGGGTATAAATAAATATACAGGATATTATTTCGGGTGGTTACTCGGCGCACTCACATTCACATACTATAAAATGTTAACTGCAAAATGTTTCTACAAAATTATATCCAATATAATAAACCTTTCATATACTTCCATCGCACACTATACTTAATATTGTGTGCACGCTCTGCGTTCTATTCCTGTGAATCATGAATATATTTCTTGGAACAACAACACAATGGCTAAAATCACGCTACATGTCCATTATCAATGTATTCTACCTGTCTTCTGTTACCACAGTTGGTGAGCTATTACGGGAATCCTGTCTACTCTGGTGACAATGTTTTCATTTCTGTGTCGCCTGCCAATGGCATGTCTTTTATACACTATGGCAGTATCAGTGACAAAGCATCATCACATTGGAGCAACAGTTATTACTTACGTTGGCATAACAGTAGAGGAACCATTACTGATGTTCCATCACGGTAGATGTATCGTTACTACTTACGTTGACATAAAAGTAAAGAAGCCTCGATTGAAATCACAGAGTAAGTGGAACTACCGACGTTGAAATCTCATAGACGCATATAAACCACCACTCACATGTGTCATCATTGCATTACGACGTTGCAATACATTACAGTAAACCAAACATATCACTATAGTCTGTAAAGAGATCGTGCTTGGAGGTTATGGCAGTAAATGAAGCAGTCACTCACTGTAAGTTGGGGTTAGCCATTCACTGATCTACTGGTGCTTCCTCTAGTTCTAGATTGTCAAGCTCCTCTGTCTGGTAGTCAATGAAGTGGTTGATCTCCATTATTCGGTGTCTATTCCGCTTTACTTCTTCTTCCTCATGCACCCTGATTGTCAAACAAACTTCATCAGAAGAGTTCAGAATCTTAGAAGAATCAGAGATATTTAAAATTGTTTTTTTACTGGAATATCTTCCCTGTATACTATCTAACCAGGAAGTACTTTAGGTTTTATAATGCACACACCGTGCCAGTTATGAACACCTAGCACTAACCTTCCGATAAACGCAGCAACCCAGTCATTGACACCAGTTATCATGCAATCTTCTTTGGTGTCAATCTCGTGGATGTGATTCTCATGGGATGAACTAATGGCATTATTCATAGAATCCTTGTCGACGAACAGCTGAAAAGCATAAATTTGAGATACAATAGATGGGATTTGTGTAATTACTGATGAAACTTCCTATGGCTCTATGAGATTGATTTTTTTGCATACAGGCCAACCTGTATGTATAAGGAAAGCCAAAAAAAGAGTCTTTTTTAGACAGGTGTCCGATTTCTAGAAACTGCATAACTGCTACTCAAGGAAAATCCAAAAAAGACCGTTATAATCTAATATATATTTGAGTTCGTATGTATCTATGTATCTATGTATGTATGTATCTTCCCTATAGGCGGCCAAACCGCCCAAGCGATCTGGATGCAATTTTCACAGGGCCATCTCTTATACCCGGGGAGTGTTCCTAGCTGAAAAAAACTGATTATCATTCATCTTCACCTTCATTCATTCAATGGCTTTGTCATGATTACATTCTTTTCATCCAACAACCCAACACTAGCACACGCCACACAGATTAATAAGAGTTGGTCGGATGTAAAAATAAACTTGTTTTATTTATTCTGATCTTCATCTTTAGAGACTCCAATCCATGTACCTGCATATTTCAGAACGAAATATCATCACAATCCATCAACAAACTAGCCAAATTACTTGTACGTAGTAGCCACGTATGTAGCCCCTCCAGCCCTATGACTGTTTCACGTCGGCAGAAAACCACTTCTCGCCACGTATAGTGGAAAACGAGCAGGTAACTTGTGGCTACCGTGTAGGTACCTGTATTTGGATGCTGTTGTCTAGTTGTATAAACCAGAGGGTAGTAACCTGTACCTCTGCCATACGTTCAGTTACTTACACACCACAAATTGTTGTGTGTTGCTAACCTTTTTGTACCCCCCTACATTGACGAATCTATTGAGCGCTATTTCAACATAATACACATAGTTTTGGTGCGCGATGTTTATATTGTGATGTCAAGTTAGAAATAGAATAGTAATGCTGATTAATAGTAAAATGGTGAATTATTCATACTACCTGTGTAGTAATGAAATTATACTGGATTTAATCAATTGCTTTCAGATTTGTACACTGATATAGTGATGTGTAGATGAATCCAAAATATTCTAGGTGTGTGTGTGTGAGTCTTAGCAACCAGAATTATACTACTAGCAATTCTTGTTAGTTATTATACTCTAATATTTTACTGTTCTTAAGGTAAGCCAAAACGGTTCTACAAGCAAGTCGGAATTTTACAAGCTGCGGAAGGCAACTATGAATTGCATCTGGACAAAAGTAAACTGAAGACACCAATGGGGAAATTATTCAGTGTGCCAAATGAGCCATTGGCAATAGCTGTTGCCCAGGAGTGGGACGCACAGGGCACACATATTCACAGGCAACACATGCACATTGTAAGTATACCTGGCATTATCACAGTTGTTTTCTTAATCCAACGCCATTTTTGAAAACCATTTGTTGGGTAAACCCTTTTGTGATTGCAGCAGTAGTTGGAGATATGTCCAACTCACTGGCATACAGACACATTGGGCAATTAGGCAGCATAAATGAATAGTGGTGAGTGAATGTTGTCTGACATTATAACTGTTGCTCTAGTTAGACTTTATTCATGCTTGTTATTGTTCGCAGACGCGACTGTGTAACATCGCTCTGGACACTGTCGATGATAAAAGTAAAGAGAAATTTGTAGAGGATATACTTAGCTACCTGGAAACTGACACAGTCTGGTGAGTCGACATTTCACGTTTCCTTTGTCACATTTTCTACCACTTTCTTATTTTATATGGCATTTCCTTTGCCAAATATTTGCAGCATTAAAAGATCTGCGAGCTTTTTGTTAGAGTGTTATGAAATCATCTCTCACAGCGTTGAGTATGTTAGAAGCATTTTATTTGAACAACAAGAGCCGCAGAGCGTCTGGGCTCATCTGGGGTCTGTTGCTACGGTTATGAACGTACAATTTCAGTAGTTACCATATTTTTAATTATCTATCCTTCGTACACGAAACTATGTTCTTGCAAATTGAGAATAATAAAACACGTTTACATGGTACTGTGCATACATCTCTTTTAGGTCTGCCTGCTCCATGCACAGTGGGGGAGTGAAGCCTATGACTTGAGATGAGTCTGATATCACGTACTGGCCACAAACTCTGTTCAAAATCGGATTCAATTCATACAGAGGGCGGGAAATCACAAAGTTGAAGGGTTTGTATATTACATTGGTGTGCGAAACCTGCAGTTCTTTATTTGGCCTCCAGTTACAAGCCGACGAGCCCAAGTCGGGCCCGCCCCTCCCCCGCGGCGGCTGGGGCGCCGGGGAGAGGGTTCGCGCGCGTCCTGTAATGGATAACTCATGCAACCTTGCGTGGTAAAGTAGGAAAGTCGTGGAATGCACTGTTCCTAGTTGCGAGGAATTCTACACGCAGTAGAGGCACTCAAGTCGTCGTCATCTCGTTGCTCCTCGATAGCAACAAGTTCGTTCGTGCTGAGCAAGCGGTTTACTTCTCGACCGTCGTGGAGTGTGGATTCCAGGTACGAAAAATACCGTTTTTTTCCGTTTTTCATAAAAACGCCTCGCGAAGCTTCCGGGTTCACCGAAAAATGGTAACTAGTCTTCTTCTTCAGTCGGATTCTTCTTTCTGTGCCCCGTGACGCGCGTTCCGATCACGATCGGGTTATCCGACTCGGACGCACGCAAGTCTGCTGCGTTGCTGCGACTGCATTTTGAGTAAATCGGGTATGTGGATGATTTGGGGCGGTGTCGCGTCAATTCACGTGTTGGTCCGTTGTGTCGGAAAGCTATTTCCGAAGTGGGGGCGAGCGGTCGAGAGGCTCACGACAGATGGGAGAGACAGAACGCGAAAGGGAGGGGCAGCGGCTGGGGCGACGCTGTTCGTGGCACATGCTTCTTCAACGGCAAGCGGACGGTGGCGCACAAGTTGCAGCCAGGCCTACACAGTAGGACAGCCGATACGGTTCTGCCTGCGCTGCGTTCACAGATCGACTTATCGCCCGAGCAGATAGTCATGCCTCCTTTCAGATGTCGTCGCTAAGGTCGATCGAGCGTTTAGGCTGCGTTGAGCGCGTTTTTTTTCACGCGAAAATTGTCAATCCTTGGCAGCCACTTTGTTGCTATGCAGTGCTTTTTTATAATATTCTATCACAATGGCGATTTGGAACTTATGATTTCCCTGGTCCACTCTATTGCGCTCGCGTTGATAGGGTAAAATTTTTCACTGTTGCCGAAGCAATACAGTTTTTTTTGCCACTCCGTGGTCGTTTAACAACACGAGAAGAACGTTTTTATTTATAATTTCGTACACGGTTGGGAGTTTATAATCAGTAAAAACACTGACATGACTATTTGCACCGTTGGAACTTATTGCCGAGTGTGATGAGTATAGTCATGTGGCCTTCTGAATTCTTTAGCTTGTTAGCTAAACAGAAAACTAGTGACTGAGTTGTTGCTATGTTGTTTAGCGCACAAGTTTTATTCCATTGCGTGATCCATACTATCACTTTGATGCTATTACAACGTTGAAAACACGGTTTAGTAGCGGGCCGTAGCCAGGGGGGGTTCGGGGCGTTCGAACGAACCCCCCCCCCCCCCGCCGCCCAAGCCCAAACATTTTTTTTTTTTTTTATTTTGCAAGAATTTCACTCAGGTCGCTCTTTTTAGATGTAATAATTGCAATATCTCCATCGTTGCTGGCGGGCGGTTGACAGGTGACACCCCCTCTCCGCACCCTCCCCCCGCGTCGGGCGCTTGGCCTCCCTCGCCTGGTCGATTCGCGCCCGAGCAGGCGCGTGTACAGGGGGGCCGTCCGCAGGAGTTCCGGACCCCACCTTGCTCGCGCAGAAAACGCATCTGTAGGGGCGTGTAATTATAAAAAAATTTCTATCCCGCAGGACCGCCCCCCTTTGCGTGCGCTCGCAACTTCGGGTCGGTTAGACCCCCCTGCGTACAATTCTGTACACGCCCTTGCCGATCAAATTCAACATTTATAAACGAACCCCCCGCAATACCAAAGCCTGGCTACGGGCCTGCGTACTAGCACAGTATATTGTGCATTAGATGAATATGTCGTTGTGCTTGTTGTAGTTTGAATCAGTGATTCAGCCATAAATATTTATACCGCGGCTTTATATGAATGTTTTTATCAGTGTCTATAGAATGTACGTTTAGGTGTTCACGTGACTTTGCCGAGCAATGACAACTGCGAATCCAAAATCCAAGTGCTATTTTTACAGTTTTGTTGCATTTATGCTTATGTGTTTATAATAAATTGGTGTAATATATATTTCACTTGGACTCTGTAGAGCTGTTGATTGACTGGGTTGGGGAAATTGGCATCCACATTATAATTAGTTATTCTATTAATGGAGTACGCTTAGCCAATACACGTAGTATGCATGGACTACGCAAGAAATGCGAAAGCTTAATTTTTAACAGGGATTGATAAAACCTGCTTTTTATTTACTAAGTATATTCCATAGATCTGCATTTGGCAGAGTGACTTCATAATGATTCAATAAAATGCAATACAGGCTATTAATAATTATTACAGGATATTACTTCGAGGTTGATTACTCTGGCGCACTAATTCAAATACTATAAAATGTTAACTGCCCAAAATGGTTTCTACAAAATTATTACTCCAATTATAAACCTTTCTATATACTGCCATCGCACACTAGTACTTATATTGGTGTGCACGCTCTGCTTTCTATTTCTCGTGAATCATGAATATATTTTCTTGGAACAACAACACAATTGCTAAATCACTGCTACATGTCCATTATCAATTGTTATTCTACCTGTCTTCTGTTACCACAGTTGGTGAGCCTTATTACGGGAATCCTGTCTACTCTGCGTTGACAATGTTTTCATTTCTGTGTCGCCTGCAATGGCATGTCTTTTATACACTATGGCAGTATCAGTGACAAAGCATCATCACATTGGAGCAACAAGTTATTACTTACGTTGGCCATAACAGTAGAGGAACACCATTACTGATGTTCCATCACGGTAGATGTATTGTTTTACTACTTCGTGACATAAAAGTAAAGAAGCCTCGATGAAATCACAGATGTAAGTGGCACACTACCGACGTTGAAATCTCATAGACGCAATATAAACCACCACTCCACATGTGTCATCATTGCATTACGACGTTGCAATACATTACAGTAAACCAAACATATCACTATACTCTGTAAAGAGATCGTGCTGGAGGTTTATGGCAGTAAATGAAGCCAGTCACTCACTGTAAGTTGGGGTTAGCCATTCACTGATCTACTGTGCTTCCTCTAGTTTCTAGATTGTCAAGCCTCCTCTGTCTGGGTAGCAATTGAAGTGGTTGATCTCCATTATTCGGTGTCTATTCCGCTTTAACTTCTTCTTCCTCATGCACCCTGATTGTCAAACAAACTTCATCAGAAGCAGTTCAGGAATCTTAGAAGAATCAGAAATATTTAAAATTGTTTTTTACTGGAATATCTTCCCTGTATACTATCCTAACAGAAGTTACTTTAGGTTTTATTAATGCACACACCGTGCCAGTATTAAGACACCTAGCACTAACCTTCCGATAAACGCAGCAACCCCAGTCATTGACACAGTTATCATGCAATCTTCTTTGTTTGGGTCAATCTGGTGGATGTGATTCTCATGGGATGAACTAATGGCATTTATTCATAGAATCCTTGTCGGACAAACAAGCTGAAAAAGCATAAATTGAGATTACAATAGATGGGATTGATGTAATTTACTGATGAAACTTCCTATGGCTCTATGAGATTTGATTTTTTTGCATACAGGCCAACCTGTATAATGTATAAGGAAAGGCCAAAAAAAGAGTTATTTTTTAGACAGCGTGTGTCCGAGTTTCGTAGAAACTGCATAACTGCTACTCAAGGAAATCAAAAGCACCCATATAATTATTATATAATAGTAATATATATATATATACTATAATTATAATAATTATTATTAGCTATAAGTCCCTTGTAGATAATTCGTTTTACAGAGGTGTCCGTAAACACAGGTTTGGCTGTACAGTGTACACACATCGTACCAGTCTGAGGTCTTCGGTTAGTGCTTCTACTTCAGGGCTGTTGTGAATGACCTTATCCAGCACTGCAGCGCACTGTTCCACAAGCTTTTCGTTGTGCATGTTCTCCAACTCTCTGCACTGAGCAAACATCGCCTGCACTTGTTCGACGTATGCCGTGATCATGTCTGATATGTTGCGTTCAAACTCTTTAATGGTCTCCTATAAAAAAAAATCGAATTGATGCTTAAAGATCACCCTTGCCTTCACTTGATCCGTCACTCTTCCCTTCCTCCTCCCTCCCTCTCTCCTGCCTCTCTATCTCTCTTCCTCGCATATTCACTGTTACATTACACTATTTCTGATGTGAATCCAGTTTTATTTATCTGGCTTCTATTCGATGAAACTAATACTAGATCCTAAATTCCTATATGCACATAATTTTATACTGGTTTGATCAGGAACACATCCACGTGATTGAGTTAGCACCTTATTCCTGACATTATCCTCAGATGACATATGTTTACTAGTCTCCCTGTTTCCCACAACTAGCCTAACTCTTGGCGCTCTACTCTCTTTACTTTTCTCCTCTCTCTCTCTCTCTCTTCTCTCTCTCTCTCTCTCTCTCTCTCTCTCTCTCTCTCTCTCTCTCTCTTCTCTCTCTCTCTCTCTCTCTTCTCTCTCTCTTC